AAACCACTGTCTTGATTGGGTTGAGCTGAAGTCCATTGCACCCCATCCAGGTCCCTACAGCTTCCAGGCACTGAGACAGGACATCCTGACATCACTCAGGCAGCCCGGGGAGGAGATATAAAGCTGGGCATCACTGGCATATTAATGATACCTGACAGTATACTGTCAGGTATCATCAGCATACTGATGACACCTCACATATATCCATGTTACACTGGATATACAAATGAAACTGGCTGATGTCTTAATAATTAAAGGGATATACAAATAACAAACCAGTAGAGTGACTTGGATAATTTTCTTATTTTGGACTTACAGAAAGACACTTGTTAGTTTCAAAGGATTTTCCTAGAAGAGATTAGGAGAAAATGGAAAGAAATCAAGCCTTGGGACATTATTTAAAGGGATTAAAGATCAAGATTGTTAAAATCAAAGGGAAGGAATACAAAGTTGGGTTTTTTGATTAAGGTTAAAATATATATATATTGATTTCTGGTAACCCTTAATGGATTTTTGCTGACTAGGAGTGAATGACAAGGTTTTAAGAATTTGTTTATAGAAAAGAGATGAGATATGGGAAGAAAAGATATTTTGTTGTATTCTCAGAGATGATAAGTTACTGAAATTGTACTTGTTGTGATGAAGGGGGAAGTCATTTCCTTATATGTTTCTTTTCTTTTTCTATTATTTTTTCCTTCTTTTCTATTTTTCTTTATATTATCTTTTCTGCACTTTCTATTCTTTAACTTTTATTAGTTTGTACTAGTCTTCTCTTTGTAACTGCAAACTTTAATAAAATTATTATTAAAAAATAAATAAAAGGGGTAAAGTTATACCTGATCCCATTAAAACAACTGTTTATCCAGAAACAACCTGGTCCCATGACTGTTCCATCATTAGCTACTGAGAGCGTCTCTCTCTCTAAAGCAGCTTGTCCACAACTTGGGATCCTCTAGGACTCACGTCTCCCACTGAACAGCAGGTAGAGCCACAGTCATGGCTAGAGCATGGATGGCTAACTTACATCCTTATTAGCACTCATTACTTTAATATACTTTACACAGGGTTGCCTTTAAAAATGATTTGGAGGCTACAGTTGTTACAAAATGCAAGGGCCAGGCTATAAGCACATTGAGAGTACTATGGCTTTGTGTGAAAGAGACAGTGCAAAACAACATTCCAGTTCCCGCTTCACATACATTTAAACTACAGATAAAACACAACAAAAAAAATTATTCTGCTTCAAGCTCTGCAAGTATGATTTACAGCCATCTACTCTGTATATGTCAGGTTCAGCCCAAAGAACTCCACGAGACAGTACTGATACAGTTCTGTTGCATTTATTAGCTTCAGCCTCTCAGACAGAATCTCTCCAGACTGAATCTACACTTCCCAAGCCAGCGAGCCAAAACACCGTGAATTCCTTAGGGTGGTGCCAGTCTCATCTTCTTAATCTTCCCACATTCCTGCTAGGGGCTAAGGAAATGCTTATCTCCCCGAGCACGGCCTTCATCAAACCATTCCATCACAGTATACCACCATAATTTCTCCCTCCCATTAAGACATTTCAAAAGTACATTTTTTTCTGAATATGCTTTTTTCTTTCAGCTCTAGTCAACCTTAAGCATGTATATGTATACAGCTTAATATATGTCTGCACTATTTTAATTCTACCCCTATTTCTAATTCTAGAAAGAAATTAAAGATATTGGATTGTGCTACATTTATTCTCTGTTTACTGCATTACTAATTGGGTTCTGAATCCAATTCAAAGTTCTGTTTTTGTCCTACAAAGTCCTAGATAGCTTGCCTCTAGAGTACTTTAGGGATTCCTTCCCCAGGTGAACTCTGCCCAGTCAATGCATGTATGCAAGGAAATAACAACAACAACAACAGACAGCAAATGCCACCTCTGCAAAGAAGCTGAAGAAACAGTGGACCACCTAGTTAGCTGCTGCAAGAAG